CAGCAGCCCCCCCCTATTTTTATATTTCAAAAATATTTGTAATTACCAACTGTTTGTTAGTCCAAAAGCCTATTACAGCCTTCACAATAAATATTTATTTACCTAAAATATATAATTGTAAAGATAACGTGAGGCCCCTGAAAAGCTTCTTTACGGCCCTGCTGCAAACACTGCCGCTCCGCAGGTGGAACCTGCGTCACGTGATGAGGCAGCCTGCTGCTGAGTCACTGAGCTTCCAGCTGTCTGCAGGTAAAGTGAGTTTGTGTAGCTGATGTTTTAACACACAACAGTAAAGTTAACTTGTGTTTGCAGTGAATGAAACAACTGCCGAAGTATCCGACGTTCACGGTGTAGCTAATGACGACATGTTAGCGTTAGCGTTCTCTCCTGTGTTCCTCTCTGGGGGCGGGTGGGCGGCTCTCGCTGAGCACGTGGCCTTGGGGGCTCGGTACTTGGGGTCTCTCTCGGGGTCTTTGGCTCTGGTCTAGCTTATGTCTGCTTCAAGTCTTGGGGGTCGTGTCTGTGGTCCTCCMCAGTCACTATTTAATATTCCACTGGAGAAATCTTGTATTTYATAWGCATGATGTTCACAACCGCACAAAAATAAGTGTTTTTGTGGACGTCTTGTTGATTCCATTTAGATATAGGACATTTCTTACATACAGTACTTTTGCCCACCCTTTGCTCCCCCAAGGAAAATTTTCTAGACCCCCGCAGACGGTGGGTAAGTTTTAACTGAAAATTAGCTACAGTTAGCATTGATGCTAATATCCTGATCAAAATCTTAAGACCAGTCAAAAAAGTGCAAGAATTTGCATTTTGCACTACTGGATCTTAAGAAGGTTCTAAGTAAAGCTTCACAATGTTAAAAGAAGAAATCAGTGCAAGAGACAAGAACTTTTGAGCAGGGAATTTTCTGAAAACTGCATTTACACTCAAATATGATTTTTTCAGCTGATCAAAAGTTTAAGACCATAGCTAAAAAAAAAAAAAAAAGAAAAAAGAAAACCCCCCAAAACAGAAATCAAAGTGTCAAAAAAAGGACTCAGTAATGAGTAGCTCCACCATTCTTGTTGATGACTTCAAACAATGGTTTAGGCATGCTTGATGCCAGTGTTTCCAGGAGGCTAGTGGGAACGTTGCTCCAAGTGTTGAAGATGGCTTCACGAAGGCCATCCACTGTCTGGAACTGAAGTCCATTTTTGTAAACTTCCCTTGCCATCCATCCCCAAATGTTCTCAGTTGGGTTTAGATCCGGGGAACATGCAGGATGGTCCAAAAGAGTGATGTTATTCTCTTGGAAGAACTCCTTTGTCAGGCGGGCATTGTGAACTGCAGCATTGTCCTGTTGAAAAACCCAATCATGACCACACAGACGAGGGTCCTCAGTCATGAGGGATGCCCGCTGCAACATCTCCACATAGCCAGCTGCTGTTTGACGCCCCTGCACAACCTGAAGCTCCATTGTTCCATTGAAGGAAAACGCCCCCCAAATCATGATGGCGCCCCCACCACTGTGTCGTGTAGAAAACATCTCAGGTGGGATCTCCTTGTCATGCCAGTAACGTTGGAAGCCATCAGGACCATCAAGGTTAAATGTTTTCTCATCAGAGAAGGCAACTTTCTTCCACCTTTCAATGTCCCATGTTTGGTGCACCCTTGCAAAGTCCAAACGGGCAGTTTTGTGGCGTTGAAGAAGACGTGGCCTTTGAAGATGTTTTTTGTTTCCAGATGCCGTCTGATGGTTACTGGGCTGCAGTCAGCACCAGTAATGGCCTTAATTTGGGTAGAGGATCGTCCCGTGTCTTGACGGACAGCCAATCGGATCCTGCGGCTCAGAGCTGGTGAAATGTTTTTGGGTCTACCCCTTGACTTTTTTGTTCCATAACCCTCAGGATCATTTAAAAAATGCAAAATGACTGTCTTACTGCGTCCAGCTTCAGCAGCGATGGCACGTTGTGAGAGGCCTTGCTGATGCAGCTCAACAATCCTACCACGTTCAAAGTCAGTGAGCTTTTTTACTTTTGCCATCAGGAGGTCTTGASAGTGTAAAGACTTGACAGAAAATGACATGGAATCCAGATTTTTGCACAGATTTTGGCTTTTAAAGACTATGGTCTTAAACTTTTGATCAGCTGAAAAAAACATGTTTGAGTGTAAATGCAGTTTTCAGAAAATTCCCTGCTCAAAAGTTCTTGTCTCTTGCACTGATTTCTTCTTTTAACATTGTGAAGCTCTACTTAGAACCTTCTTAAGATCCAATAGTGCAAAATGCAAATTCTTGCACTTTTTTGACTGGTCTTATGTGTACCTGATGCTAATAATTAATTACACAGTTTCTTCTGCAGGACTCTACGTTAACCCGACTTTGTTTAGGGATGTGGATAAATGTTTAATCCTACACCAATATTAAATCTGACAGTTGATTCTAGAAGAACATTTCAAATCATACAAAATATCACCAAAATCGTGATTATCTGAAGTACGAGGGAAGTTATTGATGTTTGTTCAGGTGAAATCAGCTCATGTTTTCTTGTTCACAGCAGAACCAATGTGACCATTTCACCTGCTGTTTTCTAATTTTTCCCATAACTTCCTCAGTGTTCAAGATATCACCATGAAATTTTAGGAAAAGATTCCCATTCTGGTTTTATAGGAAGCATCTTGTATCCTAAAAAAACTAATAAAACTTAATAATAGCCAATTCAAAAGTAGCAGAAAAGGTATAAAATAACATTACAAGACAAACTGTATCACCAAATCAACTTAATGTGTGTTAGAAAGTAAGGAAATTAAAACAATTTAAAAACCATGTGGACATGTGTTTWGTAAACAAAGCTCCTCGACCAATGACAGCGTTAAATGTGTCGAGTTGAAGAAATTTATAGTTATTAGAGGTTAGTACTGATGTTAAAAGCACCACAATATATTTTTAGGTTTTCCTTTTTATAATGTTTAATCTATTATGCTTTGATTGATATAGATTAGTTACATGTCCGAATTATAAACAACACATAATGAAAAGGTTATAATAACAGTAGATGAGACTTTTGTTTGAATGCCTGTGATTCAGCCGTAGGTYAGTAGGGGGCGAACGCGAGCGTTGAAGACTTTGTATAAATGGATCAACTTCCTGGTTGGCGGGCAGTGTGTGGTTTCCTGTCAGATCCGAATGGCGTTAAATCCTCACTCCAGAATTCTGGTTTTATATGGTTTTATTTCGTCTAACAATCATATTATTTAACATTGGTGGTTTTCTACTGACTTCAGTCTTTGAACACGAATATTTCTTACAAAGTGACGAAGACGAGCCTCAAAACACTTTGCAACAAGCGCTGTTCCGGATAAAAAAAAACATAGTTCGATGTTTCAAATCATTATCAAATTTGGAAGAAGGGCAGATAAAATAATGTTCTTCATGGCAGCTTATCTCTTTAAGGTTCACTAGAAAAACTCAGGGCATTTACTTTGAGCCTCTTCAAAAAATTGTCTCTTCAAAACGCATCAACAAAAATTAAAAACTGGAAAACGAGGCTGTGTAACTACCTGACGTCAGCCCGACTTGTTGAAGCTCGTAGAAATAACGAAGCAGGAGGAAATAACAAGCACCGAGCAGCCTCGCAAAATCTGCTCACAGCAGTTTGGGGAGAAAATGGCTGCAGCTGCTGACGACATGTCAACATCCCTACATTGTTCAACAAATAAACTTTAATGCACTGAAAAAAAAAAAACCTTTCAGAATCCACTTTAGGACTTTTCTGTCTTAAATAATATTTAAAAATCATCTTCCGTGTTCTGAAGTGATCAGGAAAGAGTTTTGAACGGTTTCCTTTATCGAARCAATGAATTAATATTTTTAAACACTCATATATATAAATAAATGTATTCAGGACACTTCAGCACTGCAGGAGCTGGGAAYTGAACCCCCAACCCTCAGATCAGAAGATGACCTTCCTGTTCTGGCAGAAAAAGCTGCACCAGTTGTTTTTATTGTTCTGGACTAATCCATAAWAACTGTTTAAAGGAGAGAGTTGTGTTTCTGTTGGGGAAAAAAAATTGAAATGATAAAATATTTAAACTCAAAGATGCTTAAAGCACAAAAGCTGCTTCCTCTCTGATCACTAAATGATTTAAAGTATCTGTATTAAAACACAAAGCGACGCAGCGAAACAGAAAAGCAGATTTTAAGATGAAGTGGTTTCATTTGGCCTCGTTTTTTTTGTTAAACACTGATGCAAAGATACAAGAAAATAACTTTAGGAAAATAAGAGCTTTTTTTAATTTACGAGGTTAAAACGTTTCAGCTGGAGAAGCCGTTTGTGGCTGAAAATGTTTGAGAAAACTGGAATAAATCAGTTTAAATCTCATGTTAACTTGTGTTTAGTGTTTGTAGACCWTAATAAAATAAAAACAGATGTCAGGACTTGGATCTGTCTCCTCTCTGTTTACTTTCACATCTTTCTCCTGTAACTGACATTTATTAGAAACACTTCATGCTAATTTTGCTCTTTAGTTGAAGATTGCTGCAGCTCCCTTTTTTAATATTATTTTCAGGCTTTATTTGATTTATTTATTTGAACTGAAAGTGTGACGCTCTGTAATTTAGCGCTCCTGTTAGTTCTGCTCTCTTGTTTTGTTTTCCTTCTCTTTGACTCCCTGTTTGATACGTTTTTACCGTCCAGGTGCGATTTTTGAGGAGAACGCCGCGCGGGACGATGAGGTGTTCCAGCTGGCCGTGTCGGACCTCAGTCTGAGCGACGACATCCTGCACAGCGAGAAGATCACACACTCCATTAAACTCATCGAGCCCAACAACCCGTTCCAGGCGGTGCAGGAAGGTAGGAGCGCTTCATGTGGCGTCTGGTTGTTGTGGCGTGTTTCRGCTGATCCTGGTTTGATGGTTTAGTGTGCAGGTTGTGTCTCTGGGCGAGGCAATGACCCGCCACTCGGCTCTGTAAACGCTGTTGACTTCACGGCTGCTCTCTGAGGAGGCTGCTGGGCTTTGATGCTTCTCCTCTCTGGTTTTGATGCTTTCACTCTGAGGAGGAGCAGCTAGAGGGAAGCACCGAGCGTCATCACTGAGGAGAGATGTTTCTGATGAGGAGGATAGATGCTGAGATGAATGACAGGGTGACCGTTTGTTGATAGTTCTGCTTCAGTTTTTCTTTAGAAATTACCTGTTTTTTAAAGTGATTTGAATATATTTCTATCTCTGAAAAAATATCTTTGTTTTTCTCTGAAGGGTTTTAGGAGAAGAAGTTGATGCTTTTGAGGTGAAAGGTCACAGGAYCTGTGAGAAGTGATCTCACTGATGTAAGGATTGGGCAAAATTGGATTGTGTGCAATTAATCATCAGAAAACCATATTTTTTGGCACTTGATGATTAATATTTTTATTGCCACCAGGMTGACTGACAGGAGGTTTCCCCGGTCAGTCCGCTCGCTGCTCCTCTCCGCTTCAAATACGACCAACATTTAAAATAAAAGATGGAATTTATTTATCATAACTCCGGTTTTACTTGCTCTATCAACACAATTTAAAAACATGTAAAGCCTGAAACTTTTGACTCAATTTGGAACAGATTTTTACAGAGAGCAAATCTTTACCACTACAGTGATTTAAATTGGACATGTGACGGTAACGCTTTCTTGTACGGTACCCTTATTACCATGTAATTACAAGGTAATTAAAAAAGGTAATTACTGCCTTATTACCATGTAATTACAAGGTAATTAAATAAGGTAATTACTGCCTTATTACCATGTAATTACAAGGTAATAAAAGGAATTAAAATGGTAATTACTACCTTATTAACATGTAATTACGTGGTAATAATTAGGGTACAAAAGAAAAACTATTAGTAAAACTACCTTTATTGAGTAACTACAATCAAATTACTATTCAATAGTAACTCAACACTATATATTTATAACCAATAGAATGCAACTAAATTTTGAGGTTAGATGTTAATCGCAATAAAATATAACTTTAAAACTGTCCAAATTACCTACTACTTATTTAGGTGGTACATAGTGAATTGTAATACATTACCAAGTAAGTGCTACATTACTGCAGACAATTAATTACATAGTAAAATTGTACCCTAATTACCACGTGATTACATGGCAATAAGGTAGTAATTACATTTAATTACATTTTTATTACCTTGCAATTACATGGTAATAAGGGTTCCGTAAAAGAAAGCGTTTCCCATGTGACTAAGATATGAGGGTGTCCAAGGACTCCAGAAGATTAATCATCATATTAATTATCAGCTAAATATCTCAATTAATCGTGATTTTTTTTTTTTGCTAATATTGCCCAAACCCTACGCTGATGTTGATGCTTTTAGAGGACCGGTAGATAAAAGGTCCAGTCAGAACCGTCCCTCTGTGGCATCTGTTGTGTGATTAGTCAGAATCTTATTGTGGGCGTGTTTCTGTGGAGCAGCAGGGGATTGCGCRACAGAAACGAGCATTTATTTCTGAACATTAAAGCAGCAGGTGGAACTTCTTTTGGCGGCAGCTGGTTGGTGAATCATTCGTCCCCTTCARCCGGACCTGCTGGTCCAGTCCAGATAGGGTCTTCCAGTCTGTCCCGGAGTTAAACCTTCTTTATTTACTGAAACTGCTTTACTAAGGGTAGTGAATGATATTAGAATGAACTCTGATGCTGGTCGTTGTTCAATCCTGGTTTTGTTGGACCTATCAGCTGCATTTGATACGGTTGACCATACCATCCTAATCAGTCGCCTGCAATACTCTGTGGGTATGAGTGGAACTGCTCTGAACTGGTTTAAATCTTATTTAAATGATAGGTTCTTCTGTTTATCAATTGGTAACAATTGGTAAAACTTACTTGTGGCGTTCCACAAGGTTCAATTCTTGGCCCACTGCTATTTTCTATTTACATGTTACTTCTTGGTCAAATCATTTGCAAATATAATGTCTCTTTCCACTTTTATGCAGATGATACCCAAATATATTTATCCATTGATCCTTCTGATCTGTCTGCTCTAAACATCATAAGTTCTTGTCTTACTGATATTAAGGTCCGGATGGCCGATAATTTTTTATTGTTAAACAATAATAWAATGGAAGTGTTGGTTTTGGTTCCTAAGGCTCATAGAGACCCTATAATTCAAAGTCTTAATTCTTCAGGTACAGTATTACTTGCTCCCATGAGGCCAGAAACCTTGGGGTGGYTCTAGATTTGGATCTGAGCTTCACCAAAAATGTTAATAATAGTATTAAAACTGGCTTTTATCACATCAGAAATATTGCCAAATTAAGATCAATTATCTCATTTGCGGATGCTACTTACCTCATTCATGCTTTTATTTTCTGTCATCTTTACTGCAATTCTCTGTTTGCTGGTCTGCCTTATGAACCTTCAACGCCTCCAAATGGTGCAAAATACAGCGTATGACCATATCACTCCTGTTCTAGCTTCTTTACACTGGCTACCTGTCGTTTTAGGATTGATTTTAAGATTGCATTGATAGTTTTTAAA